GAATATATGCCACTGTACACAGTACTGAGAGCATATGCCACATCCATAGGGTTTCTGTGAGTGCAGAGAAGTTCTTGGCTAATAGCCGCGACGTGCGTAGGGCGGTTGTAAATGAGGGGGAAGAGGTTGTCTCGGTCAATGAAGGGAAGTTGATTTATGTCACCAATCAGCAGAACTTCCTTGGCCCGAGTTATTCGGGCCGCCATCACAATGGCCCCAAAGTGATTCATGAGAGCCTCATCAACCATGATTCGGTGGCAGCTCTCTTGCTCTTTTAATCCGTTCACTAAAATGGATGCCATTGTTCGGACTTTGGATTTGACTAATCCTCCGATTCGGCAGGATAGTTTGCCTCTGAGGTCATTTGCTGCTTCAGTTGTTGTGGTGACGATTAAATCCCTTTCCGCTTCGAATTCATTTATTATCCATGTAGTTTTGCCGCATCCCGGCACTCCATTTGTCCAGTGAAATGTCGGGGCATCCCAGCCCCCAAAGTCCACGCCGCCCGGCCCAGGCTCCGAAATGGATCCCACCATTTCCAAGATCCGATCCTCCAACATAATCCTGGTGCACCCGGCAACCACCACTAAGGAGTCTTCAGGAGGAGTTTTAAATTTCACAACTCCCCGTTTATCATACATCATACATACACATAAGTGTGTTCACATCGTATATGTATGTATAAGTCAACTATTCTTTGGCTCTATCTTCTAAAGATTTCTTTTCCTCCCTAATGGTAACTTGACGACAATGCGTTCCATGTACTGTTTTGAACGATAGGTTTGTTATTGCTTACAGGGTCTATAATTTATTCGTACTTGTTAATATAATTGCTTTTGTATATAACATGAAGTTTTTTATACCCACTACATTACAATGGTACTACAAATTGATCAGTATGAAAGGATATTGCTACTGTGATAGATTGTTACTCTATCGCGGAGAGCCCACTAACTAAAAATCTCGGGTTACTCACGTGAATATATACTGAGAAAAACTCTCCTAGTTTCGAGGCACAGAGAGGCTCTTCCTCATGTGCCTACTGAGCCACTTAGTGCCACTATACAATGTAACACCCACTTTTCACTATTTATGTTATGAGTCCCATGTAATAGGGGGTGAGCCTGTTACTATTGAGTTTTTTTTTTAATTCAGTAATACTTTGCCCGGCCCGGGAATCGAACCCGAGAACCCGGCAGTCGCACTTGGGACCAACGAGACAGTCAGCTCTTTTAATATATAATAATATGCCCATAGGCGGTGGTGCAAACATACAATGTGACAGTAATGTTTTGAGTCCCAAATAATAGCAGAACAAATAACTAATTTCTATCATACATCGTTATTATAGAGGTACATATAATGATAATTATCATTGAAAAATCAATTCTTAGCCTGACTCAATGCACAAACACAAGACAGACTCCTGGTTTCTTATACATCTATATTTCTACACGACACCCTGATAAATAAAACTTCAAAATGGACAATAATCAAAGTCAAAGTCAAAGTCAAAATCATTTATTTCAATTAGTGGTCTAATTGAAATAAATGATTTTGGCAATAGAGGCAATAGAGGCACTTTTGAACGTCAATAAAGAAAATTAACAAGTGAAGCTTTTTGCTCATTCCAAGTTAATAATACTGACATCATAGTACATAATAATTAGGTACAACCGTCCAACAGACAGACAGCTGGTCGGACACGTGACGACCAGTGCGATGTTTTGTATCATCGTTTTTTTGTTATCATACCTAACTAGTATTATTGTTGTAGATCCTAAACTTTAACCTTTTTGGTTATTTTGCGTTGAATCCCGTGTTTGAGTTTTTTCAACAAGATAAGAGATTCATTTAGATTATAAGAAGCAGCATGTAGTTTGGAAATATGTAATTGCATTAAGTTAGAGATGTTTTAGGGGTCTTTTATATGAAACTTGATAATAGGTTTACTCTTTTTTACGGGTCTAGTAAAACGTGTGGAAAATTCTAAAAGAGACGTTACGAGGTTAGGTTTAATTCAATAATACATTTAAATACCGTAATATTAGGCATAATGTACAACTTAAAATTAACTAAAACTAAACCAGCGAATAAAAAATAATAAAAAAAGACAAAAAAAGAAAAAACTAAATTCCGTCAGTTAGGCGTCGAAGAATTTGTCCGTATCATTGTTCCTGGGGAACGTGCTCAAAAGACTGGCAGCATTGCCACGTTGAATGGCAATGCTTATTTTCTGCCTGAAGAAATAGCCAGCCCTCTAGTCACGAGTAAAGTCGATTAGCCTTCGGGCGATTTCTTTACATACCAAATGTGCCCTGGGACCCTATGGCCCAAGGAATTGGGAATCAATATAAAATAATTGTTTATGTGCACATATAATGCTTTCTTCTTCAGTGATTATTGTATTTGCTGTTTATCCAGATCTTGTAAAGTACTGGTCTGTAAGTAATTGTTTCCCAAGGATTAATAGTAATAACTAATGCATAGGTATCGACATAAATAAATACATAATCGTTAAATGATTGTTCTTTGTTTATTGATCAATTAGCCAGATGTAAATAATTTTTTATCGTGTTCCGTCTGTTTTTCCGCATTCCCATATTTTTATTAGATAGCCAAGCGATCTATTACTGTATCATTTGTTATGTCAGTGTTTCTATGGCTTCATATTATTTATTTAGGTATTTTATTCATTTATTTATTTTTATGTGAAATATTAGTATTAAGTAATAATATTTCGGAAATATTATTGTTTTGTTAGTGTGATCATATTTATAATAACATGGAAAGCGATATTCCTTCTAAGGCTCTCTATCTTCCTTATAGTCGAATAATTATTTTGGCTGTATGTAACACGAATGGCTGCATATTCTTTATTTATTTGTTTGTTTATTATTATATGAGATATTAGTATTAAGTAATAATATTTCGTAAGTGTGATTGTTTTGTTAGTGTGATCATATTTATAATGATATAGAAAGCGTCTATAGTCATCTCTAAGGTCGAATTATTATCAAGAGGAAGAGATTAAATGCACGTATTCTTATATCTGATGAAGGTATGGTAGGTCTCTGTGTTTATAAATAACCAATGATACAAGAAAAATCTTTATAAATGGAGTAAAAATAAAAAGACATATTTTTGATGACATCACCTCTCGAATTTCAATGCAGATGATCCCACTATTATCGTTCTTTTTTGGAATAATTTATTTTTTCTTGCAACTTATTTCTTTTTAACCTGTGCCTACTTTAATGGAGCTCAAAACTATAGTAGGTAATAACTTTTTAAATGAATACTTTTTACGTCACTAGCGTTAACGAATGGTAAGTATAACAAGTAAAATCTTCCCTGCCGTGGAAAATATTATGTAAGTTAAATACGTAGATACTATAACAAAAACCTGATCGCTAAATTCCTATAATTGCTTAATTGAAAACTTCATGCAGTTAATACTAAGATTACATTTTATTACTGAGAAATTCTAGATGATTTGAGGGGCAGAGATAATGGCTAACTACTTGTTAAATTCTAGTACCTACCTGTCTATTATTTTAATGATACTGATCTAGGTGCAAGATTTCTATTAAGTTTTTAGGGTTTGTTGTTCACTGAACAGTAAGGGATTTTTAGAAGAGAGATATCGGTTTTTTTTATTATATTGATATTTCACCCAAAGGTCAGACTGGGAGAAAATGCCTGCGGCATTAAGTCCACCTTATGAACGCTTTGTGCATGAAGCTTAAATAAATAATAAATAAAATAAATATTTGGTCGCAATAGCGTTAACTGTTACACAATAACGATATCAGACACCCCCAGGACCTTTTTACCCTTACAGGTAAGCGGCGTACTTGTACGAGCTTGGGATGGAAATTAAAGAAATGCCTACCTGGCATTTGAACCATGGAACAAAGGCTTGAGTAAGTTCATGTATGTATGTAATATTTTGATATTTTTTTCTCATTGAACTTACAGCAGGTATAGCTTTAATGCTAACCTACTTTATCAAATTATTAAAATTAACAAGATATGTTCTTTTATTTTTTGAGGAAGAAATATTTAGGGTTAATGTTTAAAATATTTCGCTGAGTCATTATTTGAACGAAGATTTGAGTAGGATCATTGAACTTATTTATAAAACCGTTTTGATAACTTAATTACCTACAATACTGACACGCTAGTTTATTTATTAGTTATGCCTATTTATGTTAAAGGTAATTTCAGCCACACAATTAAATAAATAATTATACGAAAAAAACTCAATAAAATTCGGCAGTGGTAACTTCAAGTAGGTAATGATCTGCTTCTTCACAATTTTTTATATTATTCTTTAATAAACTTTAATGTAATGGGCACTTTAGTATATGAAACTAACTATGTCCTTAAAATTTCTATGGAAAGTTTAACCTAATTTTATGGGGAAGGATCCTGTTGTATATTACAAACGGCTAGCTAAGTATAATATACTAATTAAGCCCTGCATAGTCAAATCTAATGAGTCCAGATTATACAAAAACTTACTAAGAGTTTTCTAATAAACGAGCTGACCAATAAATATGGTAAGAATTCATATTGCACATCTTAAATAAATAAATATGGCTTCAACCTGTTATCAAATGTCAATCAATGTTTGCCTATTATTTTCAAACAGTCAGTACGTTAAGTTAATGCATATCAGTATCTGGGCGTTGATGTTAATGTCATCATATTGTAGGTACCCTATTGACAAAGTCACCCATAATAAGTGGTTATTCGAAACAGCATATGATCCAAAATAACAAAAATACAATACCTATTAGGTAGGTACTAAGTACCTACCTATGCTAACCAAAAAAACATCAATCGATTCAACTTTTGTGTTATTTTATATTTAAAAACCTGTGTTATACATTATAAAAAAGCTAATCGCTTAAGAACTCACGATTATAAAATCGAGTTTCTAACAAAAAAAATCTAAATTTAAACGTTTCGATTTGATTCTTAAATTCACATACCTTATTAAAATGCCGGTAACCTCGCTTCTTTGGTGTTAAATAATAATAACTCTTATGGTGTTATTATAATTTTACGTATACGGGTGTCTCTCGCGAGAGACGAGCGTGTACTGTTGCGAAAGCCGTCAAAATGCTATAAATAATAGCCGTGAATTGTATTTGGCCGGAAATTTTCTGATGGCATCTTCGATTCTTCCTCCCCGTAGTTCGTAGTACGACGCGAATCGCGAGTAAAGCAGCCCGTCCCTTCACAGATTGTACTATCACTAATCACGCTTCGCTTCACTGTAGAACCACTTTGTACTGGCGTTAGTCTATTCTCCACAAATTTTAATTAATGAGAGATTTTTACTACTAAGCGATTAGGAATTGTTATTTACTTAAATAAACTAAAAATAAATAATCAATAAATAAGCTTCTACCGAACCACACTCGCTTCTAACGCCAAATGAATTAAATTAAATTTTAAAATACAGAAACCATAACACAAAACTATATTTTAATGTGACCACAAACGTGTTTAAACGCAATTTGCCCAAATAGCTGGGTTTGCAATTAACATCGCGCAGATTTTTCAGCAATTAAGTAATAGCATTATATCACGTATTTACTACATATAATAGAGTAAGGAAGTAAAATAGTGCTATCGTTAATATTTCACATATTATGCTAAGATTATATAAAAATGGGCTGCCAACTAATCGTAAGCGCGTTTCCATACCAAAGAGTTAGGGCTAATTTTTTCTAAAATTTTTAACCTGGAATTTGATTTTCGAATTTTAAAATTTCATTAATTGCGCAGAAACTTGTATCTCGATGTGCCTAGCAGAGGATATATTGTGGCTGATATAATATAATAATGATGTGCACATTTGCTCATCTCTTCTTCATGTCCATATGTTATCATAAATGTTGTAGTTACCATTGATTCCATAAGTATTTATAAATATACACATATCAACACATTCATGTAGGTACATTGTTCATATATAGGTGATAATGGATGCTTCAGTCCACATAATCAACAAAAGCCGGATGAAATAGTACCTGCGATAGTATGCCAAATAATTACACTAACATTTCGTACAATAGATTGTGACATACTCACTAACTCCTTGTCACGTGGTCTATGTAATCAACACTGGTATATATATAAAAAAACTAAACGCATGACTGAATTTTTTCAATAGTTTCTATAACTGTCTATTTGTACAGCCAATGAAGGCAAATTCCATTGGAATGCATTATAAATAATTTATTATTTACTTCAGTAGATATATATATACCTATATAGTTACTTGTGCGTTCTGTCTCGAGTTTTCAAGGTCAAAAATAAAGGTTAACTTTTCTATTTCGAAACTTTCTCTTAATTATTTCTTATATATATAACAAGAAGCCTCATAACATAAATAGTGAAAAGTGGGTGTTACTTCTGTGTGCACCTCTGCCTACCCCTTCGGGGATAATATTATGTTATGTAACAAGAATCCTTATTGTGTAACAGAAAAATGCATATTGCATATTTAATTTACTATTTAAAACAATTCGTTTTATTTCTCCTTTACTTATCACACATTTCGATTGCTGAATTGTTGCAATATTCATAATATAAAAAATCGGACTATAAGTACCTATTAAGTATGTCATGCAAATACAATACATAGTCTCCATTTCTAATCCTTTCAATGACTTTCTCCATTAAAGTTTATTTGTAACGAAACAATTTTGGATTTCCCCAGGAAAATCCAATGAATACTCACCTCACGATTGCATGACCCTGTTCGGATTCATCGGCAGTATACTCATAACTTATGTAATTCTGTCTTTATTTAGGACTTAAGAAACACGTTATATGGATGATATGACGTTTTAATGGAATCGTGCATTTTTGCAGGAAAATGTGTAAAATAGGGAAATATTTCGTCAGTTTATATCGTTGGTAACATATACAGGACCGTGAGGTATTTTAGCAAAAATACTTAGTAAGGATAGAATATAAGATTAAAAAGTCGTTAAAAATATATTAGTAATAGAATTATTTGCGGCAATAATATTATTTATGCCTTTACCTACCTATTATAATTTGATAGGTGCATTTTAGGTATTGATAACAAGATAAGTAGCTATGTGATCACGTTGCCGTTGCTATTTGGAAATAAAATTGTCTAGTACTAATACAAAATACATAGTCTATTAAAGAAAATAATGAACTAAAGGAAAACAGCTTTCAATAGTATCTGATTAGGTATTAGCTACAATTACATAGATGGAAAACCCAAACTTTGCAAAACATTTTTGTATACAGGATCTGCAGTTTCCTACTTAGATGGAAGCATGATTTGATGACGTCATTAGTCCGTTTTGTTTGCAGGACAAATATTAAAGCGGTGTACCATCTCTACAAACACGTATTATGCTAATCTATTCTTCTTAAGACATAGACGTCACGACTCACGATCTCTATTAATTTTGCAAAGGTAATTACTGCCTACAAACTATGCAGTTTATAATTTGTAGCACAACAATAAATGTAGATTTAGATAAGAAATAATGGTGTAAATAACATATGTATATATTATTTTTTGAATGAATCATCAATGGGCCTGAAAATTCCCCTAATACAGTGGATACTAATGATTGAATGTGTAGGTTACTACTAACAACAAATCATTATATGGGTAGGCTATCAATGTAAGTATTTGAATAAATCTGTCTAATCACGTCAGTATGATCCGATTTGTTTTACAGTGTTTTTAATATATATCGTAGAATGTCATATAGATGGCAGAGTAGAAATATTTGTCACCACCAGCTTAAATACTTCTCCCAGTATCGTAAGACTATTAAGGATATAAATATGTGACGTTTGCCAAATAATTATATGTATGTTTTCTCTAGCACTCTCTAGTGCTCTATCGAGAGCTTTATCGAATTAGTTTATCGAAACTTAACCTTTTTAATCTGCAATATCCAACCCACGCAAGCAAGAAGAGTATGATAAACTCTCTATAAAAATCATTATCTAGTAATATTCCAAGTATGAGTGTTAAAACTATGATTCAAGCCAAAATTACCAAAAGATCTGTTTCCAGTAATTTTGGCTAATTATTGCATGAACATTCCAGACTGGTTAATTGTTGAGTATTGTAAAAAATCTTTATCTAGCTGAATAGATACTAATTGGCGATTAGTCTGGAATATCACTATTAGCATTTTTACAATAGTAAGAACATGGTAACAGCTCCTACCTAGAACACCTAGAAACCATTCAATACCAGTCAGGTACAATAGCTATGCAATAAACAACTTTTTTACATTAAATTTTTTCGAATGTATTTAATATTGATGATTGTTAATTGGACATTTTTTGTTGATTCCGATTCGGATAGATATAATGAAATTTGAAGATCCATTTATTTTAAACGGGTAATATGATTTGTGTGGTTATTGTAACGCGTAAAATAGGTATATAATGAGTAGCAATGTGTCGCTGACTTGATTCGGATGTAGGATGAAAGTAATAAATGAACCCTTTCCTTATATTAAAAAAACGTAAGTAGGATAATTTAAACGCAATTCACATTAAATATTTTATTTTATTTTAAAAGTATAAAAATAGCATAGGTACAAATAGACGTATCGGTAGACTAATTACAATTATAAATAAGCATAAACATAAGAATTAATTTTACAAAAGTGTAGATTTAAGCTAACATCGAGTAATTTTACGCTGGTGTAGAAATATTGCACTGGGTACTATTTACTAGTCGGTAAAAATCATACTAATTTGTAGTTACATCTTTAATTATTGTTAACAACCAACTTACGAGAATAATTTACTCAGATAAATAAATACTGCTAACGATGGTAGTCAAATATCAAAATTCTAAGATTATTTTGACGTGAAAATTAAATATTAGAAAAGGTACAAGTAAAACGGGAAATACCGCGAGACAGTCACACGTCAAATATGTTCTCAGAAGTCTCAAAATAATGCCTTGGCCCACTTCGATAAGAAAATTCATTAAGAAAATTATCATTTAGTACTACGAGTTGTGTTTACTGACACAAGGCTTCAACATGTAATTTTAGGAAAAACTAATAATAAACTAAGGTTACAATTAGACAGGATATTTATCTTCTTTGTTTTGTTGACAAAATGTTATCATAATTATATTTTTGTGATGAATCCGTCTGTTTACAGGAAATTGTCATGTTGCGGAAAGATACTTATATGGTTATGAAACTATGGACTTATTGAAGATAACGTGAACAGATATGAACTAGAAGAAAATGTCTATAGTTATTTACGAAAGTTGGCCCATACGCATATAACATACCATTTATAACAAAAAAGACAGAAATGTTAACAATGTAATATACCTATATATCACACTATTTTATTTACTAGACTGTTAAGCGATGTGAAAACTAATTCTGCGTTCTAATTACATATTAATTCGAATTATATGGTTGTGCAGTATTTTTAACTTAGTATAAAGTATTTTTATATACAAAATGATATCAAATATCTTGGAATACTATAATAGTATGGCACAAGAGAAAGCCTTGTTGATTATTATTATAGTATTAGATACTTTTTTACAGAAGTAGTAACGTAATTTATCTGTGTAGCAAATGTGAAACAATATAATTTATTATCCATTGATTTAAATTATCTTAAACATTAAAATAACTTAGCGATCTATTTTATTATTGTGAGCGATAGACAAGGATATTTTTTAATAAAATATGAAAAATATAGATAAACTAGCGTCCTTATTATAAACTATTTTTGTTCGTTTGCCTATAAAATAAATCTGCGTTCACTACTTTTATGATTACACACAAAAAGCAATACCTATACATTGGATACGAGGAAGCAGGACTCATTTTGCTAAATCCGAGTAAAAAATCTTTAGTTACTTGATAGGTAACGTATAGTATAATTTACTGGAGATCGAAAAATAATCCCTAATACAGTAGATATAAAAATAAAATTTCATTCGAAGCACATTTTATGTCGAAACTCACTTAGCACTCATATTCACACATATCTTCAAATTACCCGCGGTGTATAAAAATGTAAATAAGTATCAAATGAAAAGTATTAATCTAGCCTCTTCTCACATTCGTATGAATGGAATGAGTAAGTATTTGTGAACACAATATTGAATACTCATTGATGACACAGTAACTTTATTACGGTATTAAGGTACTATAGCATCACAACGCAAGAGGACACCTCTAGCACAAAACAAAACTATAAGCTTACATTACAATTCTTAATGGTAAGTACTTCGGTTGTGCCCGACAGGTTTCGAACTCGAACTATGCACAGATGAAACAGAACAAAATTTTAAATTAATAATAATCATTTTAAAAGACAATTATTCGTATCGTAATTCGTAAGTTACACATGACAAAAATTACGTTACGTTACGTTACTTTGTCGGGTTCGTGCTAGAGGTAGCGTGTCCGTATTCTTGTAATGTAGGCTAACTTTAGTACAACGCAGTTAATTTGCTCATGGTAACGAAAGTTATATACAAAAGATTAAATCAATAACAATAATAATGAATATGGGTTGTTTAAGTTTAAGTTAACTTATGTATTTCGGTCAAATTTTTTTTTTCACTGATCTTAAGAAGAAGTAACACTAATACTTTAAATAAATGTCTTTGATATAACGACCATTGTAATTCTCCAAACTTATTGGTCAATGACCTCTACATACGTATGTTATACGTACATTTTGTTGAACACTTACGACACTGACTTTTTGTTTTGTAAGCAACTGAGATCTGTCTGCGTACAAATAAAAAATAAATAAATGAATAACTTTTATGCACTGATTTCTTTTTTTCCTTTCCTGTACACCTTTTTCGAATTATTGCATAAATGCAATTATAACAAGGTGGTAACTAAAAGTATTTCGGAATGTTTATTCTTATGAAGGAGGTTGTTGATGCAATTTTTCAGTATCCGTTGCTCACATTGTATATGGTGGCTTAATTTGTGATGACATCCAAATATTTTAGGCGCAATAACATTATGGTAACTGAACCACAACGGGCATTAATAACACATCACTAATGGCATTATCATTCCTTTTTTAGGATTCAGTACTGTATCAAATATACTTGAACAGTATTTTTTCTCTAACCGTATTATGGTTCTTCTTCTACAATATTAGACTATCATCACAAACCGCTATAAGAATACAAGTAATAAAATAATATTTATTGGACTCGGAATCTGTATTGACTTTGGCAGTGAACGTCATTGGACGTTGGCTTGGGACCAGACCCGTGCTACTATTGTGTAATATACTAATATTGTGCACTTGTTTGTGCAGGAAGTTATGCTTTAGTGCGGAGAGATGGAGGTAGCGTTGAACTGCACAGCTCGACGAAGCACATGCGGCTGCAGGGAGACGAATCCACTGTCTACCACGCGTAAGATACGAATATTGGTCTGAAATAAAAATAATTAAAGTAATTAAAACGTCTTGAAGGGAAGTACTAAATTAAAAGTGGATAAAATTGACTATTTTATTACAGTAAATAGTTCTAAACTCATTTTTAGTAAAGCTAGTCACAGTTAATGTTTCTGTTACTTATTTCATTAGTTCTTACCTCATGTTTAGAAGCGGAGCGTCGGAAGAACTTGTGGAATCGTGTAGAAAGAGCCCAGATGGCGCCGTTGTCGCGCTCGGCCCATCTCACCTCGGCGCAGAACTGCAGCTTCTCCGGGTCTTGGGCCAGCACCCTGAAAAAAGAATACAATAGGAAAAATATAAACATTAAATAAAATTATCATAATCAACGATTATTGCGATCTTACATAGGTAGATTACCGCAACTGATAATTTATTTATGTGATCTTGATCTAAAACATAAGTTAAATAACTTTCTTTGAATTGAACATCCATTAAGAAGAAAACCTCGATAAGCGTGACCGCACCTATTAGTAGATTTTTTATAACAGAAAAATACTAACTATGACGCTAATTACTGAATCGTTATACCTACGTATACATAGGTATGTAAAAAACCTGCTAAAGAAGTATCACTAAGTAAAAAGTAAATACCCCAATAGAAGATCACACATTCATCGATAGGGGCACTATACATACAGGCATATGTCATCACTAATCATTGACCATCATTGACTCTAATATAGAATGCCTATTCTACCCGCAGAAGGAGATTGCTCTTAGATCACCAGGAGATTGCTCTTAGATCACAATTAGGTAACCGAAAATTTTGAGAATACGATAAGCCTCTATGGTATTTACTTCATCCCTATTTCCCATAATATAAGATGCTTAAGTTTATCAATCAACCAATCTATGAATTTTTTGATACTCCCTATAAATAATGAAAATACTTTTAGTTTTCTATTTTCTATTGTTTTTCTATTTCATGTATACAAAAATTCTCATCAATTATTTTCTCCTATTTTTCTGTTGATTTTATTAGGTAATAATCACGCTTATTAAATGAGATGTGTGAGGTCACCCTAGTCATTTAATGAGCGTCTTCCCGCTACATCCTCATTGCAAGAATTACAACGATCTTTCATAATAATTTATAGCCCCACTTACAACAAGTACCTGCCTGTATACTATACAACTATACACTTATTGCAAGTAAGGTTAATGCGGTTGTAGTAACCGCAATCTATTGGAAATTCCCACGTTTTAGAAAAAACTGATTCATTATGAAAAGGAAAACTAAACATAACCCCCATTCAATTGTTTTTTATCGATGACTCATTAATTTACGTGATACCTACATTTATAGAGTCGTGACTGAGTTTATTTTAATCGAGTTGTGGAATAAGGAAATTGTAGTACCAACGATAGTAAACAGTGATTTCTTTATCAATGTACATAGATTCCTAGTCGGAAAATATTCAGATAATTATGTTCGTTAGTCTCGCTGAACTGGAAGACCGACTTGTTAATTTTAGACCTGAAATATTTGTTAGAAAGGCTTAAAATGTGGTAAATATATAGAAATTGAAACGAGTAAATGCGACAATTTCTATTCTCTTAAAAATTCTTCTGACATCCATCTATCTATCCATTATTGTGACATTTAATAAATACGTCACTATTGAACTGTTTGCCAGGTCAATTGCAAAATAAAAATAAATGACACGCCAATGACGTCAGACACAAAATTATAAGGATAAAATCTAAATATGGCCCGCCTTTAATTAATACAAGCTATGCAAAGTTTTATGATGATAAGAATTAGACGTATAAGTATATTTTAAAGGTTTGTTACAAATATCTATATATATAAAAATGAAACCAGTTTCTCGTTGTCACGCCATAAGTAACTTGAGAACGGCTAGATCGATTTGACTGATTTTTTTTAGTCATGTTTGTTATTGTCAGGAGAAGGTTCTTATGACAGAAAAATATCCCGAAAATCCTACGGAAACGGATGAAAACGGGATTACGCGTACGAAGTCGCGGGCAGAACCTAGTACCTTATAAAACCGTGTTTAATACCTCGAAGGCTTCATAAGTTACAATCATTTAACTACTGCCACAATATTTTCTTATTCCAAAATAAATTAACTAAAATCTAGCAACTTCGTTGGTAGGCTTTACAAATGTCAATATTTAGTTAAATCATTTTGCTATATGCACAATATCTTACTTGTGTGTATTTGTGATGGGGTTCCAGGCCGCAATAGCAGTCTCAGTCATGGGACTGAAGATGATGGTGTCATCTCTCGGGTCTACCGCCACTCCGAGACCCTGGGAGGACTTGCGTCCCACGAGGTTTACGGGCAAGTCTGTGCCTTCCGCCGGGGGACCAGATGCAAGTACCGCAGTCGACACGCTGAACAGTCTGAAATCAAACAAAAAACTCTATAAGAAACTTTGACAGACGAACAAGTGTCGTTTGAATTCCGAACAGAGCAAAAGGTTTTTTAATAGAATCTGTAGAGTACTCAGAATAATAATTCTCTTATTATAAGTGGACGTAACATTTAACACGTGCACACATGTCAACGCCTTTTGGCAAATCAAACCTGTGTTGTTATGTTTTATGTAGCTTTCTTTCAAAGATATAATATGACCTGTTAGCTCCTTGATGTAATTTGATGCAGTCACCAAGAAACATAAATGGACAGGTGTATGTATTAGTAGGTACCTGTCAGTGGCCAAAGGCTGGTAGTACAGCAAGCCTTGAGCAGGGGAGTGAGCGAGACCCACAATACCGTCCATCAGGGTGAACCTTTCGCCGCCAATGTCGTACTCTCCAAGGTCAGGGTCGGGGTACATGGAGGCGTGCGTGACTCTCCACGCGTTGTCACGACGACCATCGTACACGATGATACCTGGAATTTACGAAAATAAAATCAAACAACATGTAGGGATGCAAACATCATATTATGTGTTCTTATTCTCCGAGGAGATTGGCAAAGTTGTATGTATGAACTGTACCTGTACATAATATGTACTGTCTCCAGATCACTTAGTCGATCAAGTAATTAAGTATTGATACATCCTCATAATGCGTTCTCAAAATAATACATTCATTGGTAGATGATAACAAGTTTCATTCATGAATTTCCAAACACTGTACTTTACACTCACGGTTTGTAATCACAATATCTTCAACATTCACAATATTGCTTTGTCCATCCCGACCAAATTGCATCATTTGCATTGTTCCCATAGACGAGTAATGAAGATGGAGTATCCAGTATGTGAGTTTATCGTATGAGATGACGATAAATACATATCAATTGTGGGAAACTTCTTTAGGAGGTTAAAGGTATTATATCTACAATCTAGTACTTGGTAAAACACAGTAACAGTTCTCACGACACTTAGGTCTAGCTTTGTTACAGACGTACGCATTTGTATCAAATGCTTTTTAAGCCATTTCAACTTTGATACATGGGCGTGTATTTTATGTTTGGTAATGGAATTGTTCATATGACTGCTGTAAAGGGAACTATAGAAAGTTTCTGTTTGCCACCAGCTACTGAGACACGGGCGGCCGCATCTTCTAGACTTTTGGTAACCAAACTGCGAGTCTCAATTCTGCATCTGCCAAGCGTAGGGTAAATTTCTCAAGAAACGCCTTAGTTCAAGACAGGTTCTATCACTTCGTCGTCCATCCATTTATAAGACTATCTGCACCTATCTTAATCACCTAATTTTTGATATAGAAACCAATTTACTATATACAGTATGCAAAATAATTATTCCTACATTTAGTCATTTCTCTGCACATTCTGGTGTAGGTAGACCAAAAAACAGCGCTGTGCACTGTGCCGTGAAATTGAATTCCAGTGAATACAAATATGTATAATAGACATGAAATAATGATCGAAAGATGAAAACTTTTGATATTGGAAACTATGACGTAGGTATATACTGCGTATACCAAACATTTAAAAATATCGTCACCTGAAGACGTCTCCTGGAGAACCTTAAACGCTGAGTATTATCATCTTTTCGTCGCTGTAAAATCACAATAAATAAAGTATCCCAACCCAAAAATATGATGTTTGTTAAAAAATAAGTTTGTTAAGTCACTCTTATCGGATCAAGATAATTTTGAGTGGATAATTCAAAGTTCATTAACCCAAACTGCTTAAAGGTAACTCTTAGGGTCATTGTTCATATTGCAAGACCATGATTGAGTGGAATTGGACGATTTACATTAAACCGGTTGTCAAGATTGCATACGACTCGCACGAAATATTGAATGTCGCTATAAATCCTTGATTTTTGGATATTTTTTCCTCATATAAAAATTAACATTTATTGGCATTATTATACAAAACATATGTAAAAATTAACATATCGTCCGGTACTAGTCTTCTGCTTGGGTAGGTAGAGATAATCAAATGCAAACGCTTTACTTAGGTACTTTCATTGATTTCTTTATGAAAGCCTATAGAAATTAATTACTTAAAGTAATAAGAAGATGCAAACAATTAATAAATGCAATAGAAATTGATTAAGATACAAATCTTATAGATATAGACACAAGAAGATCGTAAACATTATATGGGGTCTTCAAATGCATTTTTCACAAATATTTATGCACCTATTGTATGCACTTTTTCATAAAGAATAATATAAGTTAGAACGATTTCTTTACAAGAAAAGATTCCTTAATCATTAATCAAGATGATTTATCTTTTAGCTGTACAGAAATAAGACAATGCATAATAAAATGCAAATAAATGCTTTAAACTGCTTGCCTCCGTAATTTTACAGTTCACGAATTCTTTAAACCGTTATTTACAATTATGCAATGATACAATTTCTTGAAATGACACAATCGACCATTTTAATTAGTAGGCAAGTGTAAGTGCCCTGTCGGCTGTCAGCATAACAAAAATAAAATACGTGCGAATTTATTTTTGTTGCCGCGATTTTTTATCGCGTGTGCGGGGGCTTCCATAAGATTTAAAGGGTTACAGAATGGCAAAAAAAATACGCGCGACATTTGCTGCGCCGTGTAGACGGGCACTAACTTGTGAATTTTTGAATACGTCATTGTAGGTAAGTATATAGTTACGTCACATTTTCAGAGAAAGCAGTCTTTTCGTAGTTTTACGGTTCGATGGCCACTAAACACCGAAACTCATGTATTTAGTCTGCAATTATTCAATGTGCCACTTACAGTCAGCCGCTAATTATCTGACGATTACTGTTGACTATAAATCCTCAATTAAGTATTTCAAGTGGCCATAATTTATTAAAACTGATCACGTCCGTTTGGATATCACTGTAAATATTCTAATTGTAATACATTTGCTCCTCTAATGATACTTTAATTGTTGTAGATACCTATAATATGATATCTATTGTACAATAAATATGTAGAAAGTGAACAATCAGTTCTATTAACACATGTTTAACGAATTAAATAATTATTTCTTTATTTTTTTGGTTCATTATTAGGATGTTACAGAAAAATTTATACTTTTCACTACATTGTAGTTTCTATTATCAGATTAATTAATTCGAGAAACCTCAGCCCTCCCACTGTTTTTTATCCTACACTAGCTTCTGCCCGCGACTTCGTACGCGCCATCCCCTTTTCTCCCGTTGCTATAAGATTTTCAGGTTTTTTTCTTTCATAAGAACCTTCTCCTGACAATAACAAACACAACAAAAAAATCATGTGAAAATGTAATTTATGTCATGTGCTCACTTTAGAATAAGGTACGATGGGGTTGGCGTATCCTTAATGGATAAAATCCCCAATACCTTTATATATATAAGTACACAAAGATTAAAAACAAAAAAAAACAGCCATATCGGTCCAGTCATTATCAAGTTATGGCGTGACAACGGAAAACGGGTTTCATTTTTATATATAGGTATAGATTAGACTCGGGATTTGTAAAGTAACAAAAACCTCTACCTCTAAATGACGCGCTTGTAACAGTTCAACAGTTCAATAATGAAACAATTTTTAATATCTATCGTAACAAACCAAAAACTTTACAATGTAACATTAAATTTTAATGTTACTAAGTTATTATACTCACGTACTGCACTTATTATATTTTCGCAGAGAAACGCGTGTGAACATTTACTAGGAATGTTTGAACGCGCAAAAATTTTATCACACAATTATGGACACATTATGGCGGCTTACACAAACCATTATTAGCAAAATCATAGTAATAAAGGTCTTATGTAAAACTTGGAATAAAAAAAGATCTTTTCATTGAAATATCACAATACTCTGAAGTGATATTATACAGATAAAAATATATTATTTAGAACTTTGCTACTTTACAAATTAAAGCAATCTATAAAGGGTTAGGATTCATTCTGTTCCATGACCTGAATAGGATCAATAACCATTTCATCAAAGATGCGCAGAAATGTACCTAAGTTTTATAAAATACAACCTACCTGCGTAGTCAGAATAGACTTAACTAGATAGTTTAAAACACCCTTAATGTTAACGAACCTGGTGCAACCGTGTCACTGATGTAAGCGAAGAGATGGTCGCAGGAAGATGCAAGCCTGGTGTTGGAGGAGCGAGTATCGTCAAGCACCAAGTTGGTGAGCAGCGAGCTAGGACGCAGCAGCTCACGAGGGAAGTATACGCTTCGTACCTGTAATGTAAAGTAAAATAACTTAGCGATGCGCTTTTTTATTCAGAAACCTCTGCGTACCCATCGTAGTAGAGCTGGAACTGAAAATTGAGCCACAATGTAAACATTTCCCAAATAACAAAACTTGCGTTCCTCCATATGTATGTATTTTTTTCTAGCCATACCGTTACTGACAGCCCCGATTAATCTATGCAATAACTAATTAGAAGGCCGTAAAGAAATGCAGAAGGCACTTCCCGTCAGAAATGAACCAAGTAGCGTGCAAACAGATTACGTGAAGAACAAACGCGCGAATTTAATAGTCAGCGTGGCCGTTCGCGAGGTTAAACGCCATTCACTAGTTTAGAATTATACAGTGCATGGTTACTGGTCACCCACAAATTGTGCGTATTTGAGTCGGAACGTACAATTGCACCACGGACAATTGGACAGGGCACACCCTTTCAAATAATAACACGACCTCGCTAGCTGATACTGACACCGAATCATTTGCTTGCTAAAAAAAATTAATTAATCATGTAGTAAAATAAAGACAAGGCAATGTCTATTAGTAATTAATGAACTAGATCAATCACTAGAACAAGAATGTAACTTCTGTTCAAGGATTTTATAGACAATAGATACTAGATATCAGGGTATGTAATACCATATAGGCACCTTTTGAAGTTTTGGAATATCACGATATCTTTTGTTCTATTGTCTAAAATATTACTAGTATCATTACACATAGGTATTTGCGTATACGGAATATTCGCATTAGATTTCACTAAATTGCCTTGAATAGCTTTTGTGCATGAGTGAATAATGAGACAGTGCCTAATTATTTTCATGCACACCGTAATTAAAACTGAACGCATAGATTCACACTGCGATGCAATTGATACCTTGAACTTTTATCGGATGCAATATGTTGCACTGCGGTCTACTTTCAAATTGTTTGCCCTTAAAGTAAACGGCTCACACATCTTTGATCATGAATGAATCATGAATAAGGATATTAAACAAGTCGTTTGGACATTCATATCTAAGTTATACCTAATTGTAATTTTGATACCAAAACTTTGTCGAGTTAGAACATCTTTATCGTGCATGAGCTTAGGAATTGGGTTCTGCATTATCAAATCCGAGTTTTTGTTTAAAGAAACAAAACAATGTTATCAATGACAGGTACCAATAATGATATATTTAATAGAGCGATTACAACAATACATTTATCTAAAGTTTGACAATCTACAAAAATGGTTTGTGCCAACGAGTCAGCTACTTAGAGTCTTCTTTTCACAAACCCCTAGTTGAAACTAAATTATCTAATTAACATTTATAACAGAGATGCTTCCCGCTTTACGTAACAGAGAGAAACCTAGACACAGTAGAATTAGATAAGTATGCAGTAGGTTCATAGTTGTAGGGTCCCTTTCTAACATAACTTTAGTGGGATTCCGGTTCCTGCATAATAAACACTAAAGTATGTTAGTCCCGCTTACCAGTATCAAGTCGGTTAAGAATTTATTACTTAGTTATCACAGCACGACAAATAATAAATACATAACTAAATCGCCTTTCACTTCAAATTGTTTAGGCTGTAAATTGATAAATATCAACGGCTTATCATTTTCGTGACTGACTAAGCTTATGCATAACTTGACTATGCAAACAAAAGCCAGCAAGAAGGTTACTTTTAAGTAGATTAACCTCTTTTTAGTTCGTGACTTTTGTTTTACTTGTCTTAAATAATATAATTGTATTAATCTTACAATATTACTAGATTAAGATCATCCTTGAAAGTTTGTATAGAGCTTTTCTTGAAACCGACATAACGTTCGGCTCTTTCAATGAAGGCATTGAAACCTACAAATATACAAAGAAAAGTAAGAACAAAGTTAACATTAAACGGTCGGCATCATAGATCATATAAATTCATTCATTATTTTTTTAAACAATTAACTTTAAAGCTAACTTCAATTCAAATGATTGCAACTTCAATTGAGTACTCAATTACAGGGGTACAGACAAACAAAAAATCTGCAAAAACTAGTCCAAAGTTTTAGATACTTTTAATTTCGTTTCTATTACATGGGCATAGAAATCAATATTGATCGAATTATCTCTAAATGGGCTTGTCAAATGTTTCAAAATTGAGTTCAATAACAATGACCATGCTTTTATCATGATTTGATCTTGAAAAGTCGATAAAATAGTTCACCCACGCACAAAATGGCTGATGAAAGGCCGACACTAGAATAATAGCACTAGTAAGAACCATTGTCATAGTTGCGTTCTAATTCAACATTACATAGCTAATTAACGTCACAACTTTAATCACCAACGAGGTAGACAAAGGTGCATATTTTACAATCTATATGCGTTTTTATAACGCGACGCTTTTATATCGAGCATTTTCAACGCTGGGTTTTGGGCATTAAAGACTAAATTGCTATTTTTAATAATCGTGCAAATGCCGCCGTGTAAATAGGACAAGTAACAACCACTTTTCACTAATTATCTCGTCAAGAATCCCATTCTCTCGGCTAGTCAAAGAATAACTTGTAAAAACCTTAAGATTTAAATGATAGGTAAAATGGGGTGAATAGAGACAGAAGAGGGGTGAATCGATTTTGGGAAAATTTTCATAGTATCAATTCACCCCTCTTCTGTCTCTATTCACCCCATTTTACCGTATATGACAAGTCTTCATACTAAAATCTCTTAAATGTTAATTTTATTATACAGAATTTTATTATAAGAATTAACTGATGATTAAAAAATCGGCCCTAAAGGTATTAGATTATCAAGGGATCTACTTTTAACAAAAAACAAAATGTTATAAATGTTCTTATTTAAAACCTAAACAAATAACTTATTGGTTGTTTAAGCTCAATCGAATAATGTTATTATTGAATTGCAAAACATTCGCATGTAATATTTAACAGGCATTGATTAATTTATAACTTGGTGTTAACAAATATTATTGAGTTGTAATGAAGTTACATGCTCCAAAGGTATTTTAAAACATGACTAATAAAGTGTCGAATTCACCTGTAGGTACGTACATCCATACCTCTTTTTCAAAAACCGATTATGACTGTCCAATTAGTTCTTTACAACGGTATAAGTTTATACATGCACACAAATTAATGTTTATACGTTTATTTATTTTCTATCAATTGTTAACACATCATAAATGTATATCGATATGTCAGATTATACACTTGATCTACAATTATCGTCGCCACGCACGATTAACCAAACGCTGTTTATGTAACAATTTAATTACATTTTACTAATTAGAACACAACAAGTTATAACAACTGTATGCCTAATTAGTTAGAGTGCATTGAAAAAAGGCCAAATACATAACACAATATCACGCCTATCCCCGAAGGGGTAGGCAGAGGTGCACACAAAAGTAACACTACTATCCACTATTTATGTTATGAGTACGTAATAGGAGGTGAGCCTATTGCCATATACCGGCACAATTCCCGACTCCGTGCTACTACTGAGATTTTTTTTAAAACACAGTAATACTTTGCCCGACCCGGGAATCGAACCCGAGACCACTTGCCCGGCATTCGCACTTGCGACCACTCGGTCAACGAGGCATAATAGGTAATTAGTACATGTTTATGCAGTTAAAAGCCATTTAGATTCTTAAGTAGATACGAAGGGTTTTAAGTGTCGTCACCAGAACATTGAATGTTCACTTGTCGAAGCGAAACGTTTGTCCCCTTGGTAACCATGTTAGTTAACGTCTTGCGTCTAATCAAGATAAGCTCAGCACGACTTTGATTAGTTCCTATGGCACGATGCATGTTTTGTGAAACATTTAAAATAATTGACCTACACGGAACGAATGCAAATTGCAGGTAAATGTGAACTATAAAGTATAAAAAATAATGTTTTGTTCCGGGTTTTATTAATTTTTAAGCACTAAAACTAAAATCTAATAGAAGTGACCTCCAAATAAATTATAACTCAATGCTTTATTGGATTGTGGTAGTTGTTAATAAAAAGGTTTGAATTAAACAAATAATTTAAAGAAACATGCGTTAGTTAGTGGACTAAACTTTCTCTTTTTTACTTGTGAAAATATTTTGAAAAATCAGGATTGATACCACAAATGATGCTTATACCATAACTAAATATCTACAAACAACAGTACAAAACTACGTTTTAATAAATATCGTGAGACATAGTTACTAAATTAACTAAAAATCCCGGGTTACTCACGTGAATATACTGAGAAAAGCTCTACTAGTTTCGAACCACAGAGAAGTTCCTCCTCATGAGCAGCGTGCGCGACATATATATAGTAGACACTAGACAATATATTCACGTGAGTAACCCGCGATTTTTAGTTAATTTAGTACAAAACTTAATTTCATTTCATTGCACCTATATGTATACAGTTACAGAAAGACAAAAAGCCCTTGCTTTATTCTTATTAACGTTTGGTAACAGATAAAATCGATTTTCTCTATTGAATGCTTCCTACTTATCTTAGTCTCAGAGCCCAGCACTGTACCTTAGACAGTCCGTGTTATAAACAAGTTCCGGCAGTCACGGAACAGATGGTCGTAACCGAGACAACGAAATGTAATTTCCTTGATTTAACGTCATTGATCACATTCCTAATTAACATTTAGCAAATTTATATCCTGTTTTATATGTATTAGAGATTATTATTGTCTAGAGGTGTGCATGATTCACTGTAGGGGGAATGTTTATCGTAATGGTATCTTAGCAAGTGCTAGGAGTGAGTACTGCTGACCTTTCTAGATTGACATTAATCCTTAATAGGATTGATATAACGTCAGTTATTATATACTTAACAAAAGCTAGACTAGACACGACATTGTTTGTTAAACCATTGTTTACTTTGGAATTATAAACCATTTATCCAATACAGTTGAAACTGAAATACTTAAGTCTTCTCTAGTTTGTAATTATTCACAAATCAAAAATGATATGCATAGCTATAGGTACGTAAGAATAATTAACCCATGTGTAACATTAAAACTTAGAACTGTTTCTTTACCATGTTCAGATCAATCATTCTTCAAGTCTCAAAGCATAATTAATTTATTAATTACATGAAGACCATTCAAGAACACGGAACTCTATAAAAATACTGGTCATGTATGCGAGTAACGAGTTGCCTGCAAAAAATCAATTACCTAATTAAAGACTTAGTTACTGGACATCAATATGCGACAATCTTTGCGTAACTGACAGTGATACAAGACCACACAAGTCGAGTAGAAATTGACAGGTTTTACTAGTAGTTCCCCTGTTTCATCGCTATGTAAAAAATGGAGTAAAGTAATAACTAACTAAATAGCTTTAACAAACAACTACCACGGGCAAACATATTATATTTGAAATCAGATGATTAAGTTCCAGAAATTATTTAGAACAATAAAGAAATGAAGTTTGATATAAGTATACGAACTAGGAAAACCATATAATATGACATAGCACAAAACTTGTAATACAAGTATAATATGTAGGTATTACTTATTGTGAGATCAATTTAAATAGAGCAACTTTTTCTATTTTTGACGAAATCATTTAGAACGTCCAAATACGTGCACTGCATAGGAATGTATATGGAACTAATATATGCAACACACGTCTTTGTCTTGTTTATGTAAATAGAGAATCTGTTGTTCTAGTTCTATTATACGTGTTATGAATCAAAACATCGTGTATGTAGTTTTGTCATTTTAGTGAAAGTGAGTAGCTCTTATCCTCTAGAAAAGATGCTGGAGATACGAGTACTCCTTCGTGTAACAAAAAAACATGCATTATGTTATTTCATTAATATTTTTCACTATTCCAAATATCTTAAAACAAATCTTTAAGAAAATGTTAACCATCGTGAGACATACTAAATTAACTAAAATCGCGGGTTACTCACGTGAATATACTGAGAAAAGCTCTTCTTGTTTCGAACCACAGAGGGGTTCTTCCTCATGAGCAGCGTGCGTGGTCGCGGCGACGTCGCGCACCTCACTGGGAACTACTCTGTGGTTCGAAACTAGTAGGGCTTTTTTCAGTATATTCTGAGTAACCCGCGATTTTAATTAAAATCTTAACCGTTTAAACTTACCAAGCGATCAGTAGCCATATCAAAGATCAGGATCTTGGGAGGGCAAACTCGTCTGAAGTCGTCGATGCTGGTAACCACTCCAGCATCTAAGACCCAGAGTCGGTTGCATCTGTCAGCTCGCACGCGATACACGGAGATCAAACCTGTGCAGTTGATGTCACCTCGACCAGCCGTATGCCATGACCAGTCAGGATATGCCTGTGAAAAAAAAAATAATGAATTGATTATAACAAAATATGTCCATTTTAGTTAATAGACAGATAATAATTTATAATTAAATAATTGTAATGATCTAGTATCGCATCGTATAATTGATCTAGTATCCAGTATTACAGTAGTAAATAATAGATATGTAAGACAAAATATTTGTTTTGTTGTCAAATAAACAATTCATAATTCATCTATTAAAGATATCTATGTAGGTGTTTATATATTCAATATTCATAGAATGAATTTACTGGCCATAACGATAATTTATACCGTTTAACTAATTGCAAAACTTCGTTGAAAAGCTGTAAATTTTGTGCTGTTGCTAAATGAACCTAATGTTATTGTGAATTTCAAAATTGAAATTAATTTCTACTTATTACTTTTTTTGATTTCGTAATTTCATTGTTCTATTTATTTATCTACTTTAAATGTAGGTAGGTATGCCAAAATATGTGTTTTACTAAGGATAAAAAATAAACAAACGGTAGGTTATTATTCGTACATAATTATTAGGTATTCATAGCATATTATGTTGACCATAAAACATGTAGTTGAATGGGGAAACATCTCAATTACTAGTTGACACATCACAATATTTTTCGACGCGCATACAAATAAGAAATCGAACAAAGGATGAATAATATTCTTGACATTGCAATGTGCATTTACAATGGTATAAATAACTTATGTAGAGTGCATTGAATACAATTTAAAAATTACATGTTCAAACTTTAAATTGAGTGTAATATAAATAGGATTGACTGGGTAATGTCACTAAGTACCAAGTCGAATTCAATCAATTCAAAAATTGTAATGACCTTATCAATTTCCTAAATTCTTGAAAATTATGTCTGTAGTTGGGTCTGGTAGGTACTTGATAATAAGATTTCAATGAATTAATTTTAATGGTGTAGTACCAAGTAACAAGTAACCACAGGTACCGATAGATCGAACATACGAAAATTTACGCCTTCATTCGTCTCTTTACGATAGAAAACATAACTGTTTTGGGTGACACCAAAACAGTTAAATTTGTCTATTCACAATTGTCAAAATAGATAGAAATTATGTACATAGATGTATCACTACACTAACCATACATTTACCTATCCTCTAAGTATAAAAATTGTGGTGAGTAATTGAACAAGTTTATTAGTGTTCATATAATATTGTCGTCTGTCTAATTACATAACCACAGGTTTGCACGTTACCGCATTGGTAAACCGAGATTGTGCTTAAATTCAATAGGCTCGCACATCATTTATGTAAAGGTACCCTTAAGAAATACTAGACTTTCTCTTGAATCTAAATTCAGAACAGGAAACATTCATAACGTCTCTTGAATAAAATTCAACCGACTAGTACAATATATTTATTTAGGTATTCTACATACTTCATAGTATACAGGAACTATTTATGCTACGCAAATAGTAATTAAAAGACTACGAACGCAATTAGCGGAAAGGAAATATTATCAGCCTTTTGTCTGTAATCTTTTATGAATTGCAAAAGTTATTTTTGCAGCTCCTTGCCATTAGAATACCATAAGTAATTGTAGGAATAGGACGGTTATTGCTTGTACCTAATCATCCTAACAAAATTGTATGCTTTACTATTACTACAAATGTCTGTCTAATATTAAAATCTTATTTTGTACTGACAATAATATACATATAAAGTGCTGAATACAATAAAACACACGACTTTGGTCCAAGGCATGTGGCACATCTAAGTGACAGACCACAGCACAGTCCGTCAAGGCCAACACTGCAAACTGCGTGCCCTTCACGCTTTCCAAGTAAGCCTTACGCATAACGCGTATTTGTAACAAGTATTAACACCAATACGTTATCTAATTCCGACGCGGAACAATATTATAATCACTCGGTTTAACATGTTCGCCTTATACGCTTCGCCAGTTTAGAAATGGATACGGATTGCCTTCTAAATATTACAACTTGCTCGGCCAATTCAAGAGGTACAGGAAAAAATAAAAATAGTTCAGTTTTTCTTCCCGACACGTGCATGTACTGCATGCGTAACTCTACGCCTTTGTCACGCCTTTATCCCATAGAATAGTAAGCAGGTTCTCTACGCCCTGCCATAGGTAACAATCGTGTTCGTATTTTTTCCAGTTTTTCCCGATAAATGATAAGTTTTGTCCTAGTCATAACACCGGATCTCGTCACATTACGGTTTTTCATCATAAAAAGTGACACATTTGTTGATACGAGTAATGTATTTTCTATGTGAATTTGATTGACGTTTGATTGACCTATGTTCAGTAGGTAATACTTGCATCATAACCAAGTAGACAAATAAAAAAAACTACATAAATGTACATAGGAAAAAATAAAGAAAACATGCCAAAACTTTTTAGACATCCAGGAATGTTTAAGGTCTAAATAAGTTTTACGCTTGCTCTTCTATATCTGGACAAAGTCTTGATCTGGTAACAACCTTCTTACACGTAAACAATATCTACTCCTCCGCATTTCATTGAAAGGAAATATTAAGCAATTTATCGGCACTCCTTATTACTTGTACTAAAACTGCATGCTGAATAGAGCAGTTAATCTTGACCAATACATAATAACAACAGCATATTAACATATCCAACTAACCGTATTAAAAATAAAACTGGAAACGTGACTTAAACCTCAAGCTTTTTACTGATAATCTAGACTTTATATCTATAACAATAAAGCTGACATTAAAAGACATAATTATTCTAATCTAGTTTATTAAGATCTAGATAATATCTGTGGTTTGCGCAACAAAATGCTACAATTAATGTAATATTTTGTTCGCTAGCCGGTTCCTACACAAAGTCGAATTGAGAATATTGTCCAAGAACCTTCTTTAGTAGGTATTCTAAGAAAATAATACTTACAGAGCTGTAGACAAACATATTTGATAGACTTGAACACCTTCATACATTTGCATCAGAGATTTGGATCAGAACCAATTTACGTTTCGAAATGCAATCTAGACAAATAAAGTTATATAGCTTTTTGAAGGTTAGGTTTAATATTTTCACCTCTCATTTTTTATTTAATCTAAAAAATTATGCGAAGTTTTATATTGCATAGTAATCCCAAGACTATATATATAACGTCATAGATAATATTTTTACGTCTGTTCTATTAGGAACGTTTGTTATGTTATGACCCTTTCCCGTATGTTTTTTTTACAACAGATGCCTGTTATATGAATACCAGATAGTTGCCAAGTAAGGATAGATCACACTGATACCTATCTCATGGAAGAAAAAATAAGGAAACATACACCTTTAAACCATCTATTATCTAGGCAGCTACTAATTGACTTGGTTTGGAACACTTTCTAAAAGTAAAATTCCTCTTGTAAACTAAGGTACAACAAGTAGGTCAGCCAGTACTTAGGTCCTATTCAATGTATTTACACAAACTCAGCTTTCGAAGGCGACACAGGCTCTACCTACAAAATAATTGCGCAACTCGATTTGAAATCCGAATCTGCGGTATGTTTCCTTAGAATTATTTCAAACCATATGATCGGATTAGTTTCATTTCTTAGTACTATGCTACTACTTAGCAGCAATACACGAGACCTTAATCGCGTTGAATTTCCAAAATGTTCCTTCGCAAAGAGATGCACTTTCATTTAAACATATAAAGACCAAAACATATAAACCAAGGGACTGTAGATTGTGTTATAATAAC